TACATTGTTGTTGACACKTTTTTGTTAATAATATACATTTTTGAAAGTTTAGTTCTACAATTTTATTATTTTATATACGTAAACGTGTAAAATCCAATGTATAATAATTTAATATCTTAGAATGCACAGTCTATTATAAAAAATTGAGATTCTTCTCATAAAAGGTTGAACACCCTATTTAATAGTCTTTTTTTTTAATAATTATTCATATTGTATCTTGAATAAAAACTAATTTCGACATCGAAATATTAAAGATTAATATGAGCAACTTTTCAAAAATAAAAAAAAAGTTAATAATTTTTTCTTACAACATGAATCAAGTACTCTACCTTTTTCTCCTTTTTGTTTTGTAAACGTTTGTTTTTTTCTATTTTCCTTATGGTTAACGTCTCTTAAACTTTTTCATACTTTATTATAAAATGATTTTTTATTTATATGAGATAATTATGAAGATATAATTATATTTAATATAAATATATAAAAAGTTATATAAAATTTATTTTAAATTAATTTGTTATATTCAAATTGTCTTGTGTTCAAAATATTTGCATGTATATTTTTTAGAATTATTTAGATCACAATAGGAGAAAACCATTAACAAAAAATAAACATAATTTGCTAATAAAAGAAGAATGAGAAGCATCATATACACTCTAATATATATAATGGAGGCGTGGCTTTAGGTTAATAAAATTTAAATATATGTAATGGAGACGTGAGTTTAGGTTAATATAATTGAATTGGTTTAATTATTTAATTGACTTTATCATTTAATTGGGCTATGAGCTATTTGGTTTCTAAGATTTCGAATGTGTTATATAGAAGATTTAAGAATTGAGTCATAGCCATGTCATATTTATTTGATGAAAATGAATGTGGAGTTACACATAAGCAAACTCCATAAAATTACTTCCCAAATAATATATAAAAAATTATCAAATATCACATCTATTTGTAATCATATAAATTTAAAAAATGGAAATGAGAGGAAATGTTTCAAATGAATACGTAATAATTTCTTTTTTTGAGAAAGAAATATACCTAATAATATGCTTCCGTATAAATTACGTTTGATAACTGTTCCAAAATTTAGTAGTTAATGTATGTACTATGTTCCATCTAGATTCAAAACTGATTAAATAAATAAAATACTTTTAAATATAGTTTTTAAAAGTGGTTGGTCGTTACTTTACCAATTCCAAATTAAAATAATGCATGGTGGTACGTAGTATAAATATACAAAGTACAAACCTACTTAATAAACGATCTTAAACGATTGGTACTTTGACCAAAAAAAAAAACGATTGGTACTAGGCAAAAAGCAAAAGCAACCGAGCAGGAAAAGGTGCCTTACCGTGGCCGGTGGCTCCACGGGACGAGTAACGCAAGTAGCACTTGGCTAAGTAAACTTCACGCCAAGGTGTTTTTCCAATCCAGTTTCAAATATAAAATTGTTCAAAGATACAATAACATGTTAAAATACAAAATATGAGAATAAGAAAAATAAATAGATATATAACAAAAGAAGTACTTTCATAAAAGAAGTCTATCCATTCATAATTTTTTAGAAACAAATAAAATAGATATATAACACAAAAACAAATAGAAAACCACAAGAAACGAATAACAATAGTGACTTAATTGTATTTACTATAAACTCTTGTCCTCGGTAAAATAAACTCTTGTATTCATCTCCGAATTGACGCCGAGTCGTTGTCATCATCTTATCAAAAAATATGCTGCCAAACGTTTTCTTCGACTCTGCATTTAAAACAATATGATTATCAAATACTATTACATCTACAACGGTTTATACTAATGTCAAGAATACTAGTGACAAATTATTATAGTGGTTTACATTAATGTTATCGTTGTAGCATTTGCATGGTGGGATTATTTAAAACAAAAGCAACTGAGGAGGCTAAAGGCTTTACCGTAGCCGGAGGCTCCAGGGGACGAGTAACGTACGTAGCACTTGGCTAAGTACACTTCACCCAAACCGGAGTTTCCGCAAACCGGTTTTTGCCATAGGATCGCTTCAATCAAACAGTCTTGACAATCGATCGCACTGAGATCTTCCGTGCACTGCGCCACAGCTTTCGCTTCCCCTAACCTTCTCGCTCTGTACGAAAAACCGTAACTTGCCACTAAATACCTCAACAATGCGTTAGTCCGAGCCACCTCATCCGGTTTATACCGAAACGGGAACACGCAACTATTACGCACTAACGTCTTATCCGGCACACCGACGAATGCAACGTTGTCGTACTTCACCAAACATCCTTCCAGCTGTATCCAGCCGCCGGGCGCGCCGGCGCAGATATTTCTGAGCCGCCGTACAGCTTGCGAGACGCAGTTAACGCAATCGGCGGCACCGTAGGAGGGATCACCGCGACACTGGTACAATCCGTGGACAGTATCTTTAGGGTTACCGTCGACTGTGAAATTGTTGTATGAGGAGACAGAAGCAGAGTTTACAAAGGAGGTGAGTAGCGAGTTGACATTTGATTCGTAAGATGATGATATGGGAAAGTAGTTATTAAAAGAAAAAAATGATTTGGGAAAGTAGTTTGGTTCCGAGCAGTGGTCCTGTATGATATGGTCGGCAGGAGATGATGAGAAGTTTGTGAGAAGGTATACGACGGCTGCGAAGACGACGGAGGAGATCAAGATAGTTGTGGTTTTTACCGGTGACATGATGACATTCGCCGATGTGCTCTGCTTGTTGTGTGTTGTAATGTTATAGAAAATATGAGAAGGTGGCGGACAACTCTTTTATGCTTGCTCGGTGCGTTAATATATGATTACCTAATTTTCAATAAATCAATCTAGATTAGGACACATAAACTAATGTAAAATGCATGA